CATTTAATTTGAATTCCTTAATGTAGTTTATAAAAGTAAAATGAAATGTACGGCTTCTTATTTTATATTTTTACTCAATAAAAGAGGAAAAAAGATAACAAGGATATGAATTACGTTAGGACGCCGGAGCCGCGACTATTGTTCACGGGGCCGTTATATTCCAGAGTTTTCTCATATTCCTGTATTGTAACATTTCTTCATTTCATATATATTCTGTTATTTTAGGGATTCTTGTTTATTTATTCTGTAGTGTTATATCACTTTGATATTTCTTGATATGTTTCTTTTGTCTTTTATACAAACATAATAACCGTAAAAAGCACTATGATAGATGTGTTTATTAGTTTAAATATGTATTTGTAGTTAATGGTACTGTTTATTTCAACTATCTCATTTTATATTCATATTTTTAAATATTTTCAAATGGAATATTATACTCCTATTTCCATTTGTATGGTATCTTCATAAAGTACATATATTTTCTATCTACGATACCACAAAAATGTTGCATCGAATAATTCAAAACGTGCACAAAGCCTCTCGACGCTGTGTGAAATTGGAATCAGTCTTATTCAATGCGCTGTATCTGAATAAATCAATAATGGGATGTTCATATTACATTACAATGAAGAAGAATTTTAAAAGATTTACAAATTGCAATTATTGAACTAAGATTAAAAATCATTTTAAGATTATTCGCAAAGATCATTGCATGTTTAGTAAAGGTAATGCGTATTGTATATGCAAAATTATGTCAGACTTCAAATTGATTTGATTTGTTCTTTGTACGAAGTTAACTTGACGAAAGTAATTTTCATTAAAGGTTATTTTCGCGTAATCAAAATGTTCCACGGAACAAAGCGTTACCAACAAAAAGTATACTTCAAATAGAGTAGGATAAAGTGCTTTAATAACGGACGTCGTTACGGCCACGGCAAACTTTCTACCCGTTGTAGTTTGCCCTCTAGCGGTGAACCAAGTTTTCTTATTGCTACTGCGAGCGTAGATAACGGCGTAGCTATACTTCGTAGCGCCCTACGTTAATGTTACGTATTTTTAGTTCCAGTTTTTAATTTCAACATTTTAATGTTTAATTATTTTAAGTTTCTATTTAGTTGTCGTTTATTATATGTTGTTTGTTCTTTTATATATAAAAATTACGGTTTGACTGTTAATTAATGATAGTATTTATTTTAATTACAATCTATTCCATTTCTAATCATTGTAATAAATTACCAATTTAGATATAAGGTATTGAGTAATCTCGAGAGATAAGCACTTTACTTCGTATGTACCCTTTTCTCTAAAATGAATTTCGCTTCAGCACCCTAAATGTTAATTAAATATTTGAAAAGCTTTGATATTGCGAGATTGTTCAACTTCAAAACATTTCAAAGAGGTCCGCAGAATTGTTTCAAGTTTTAGTATTAAGCCTGTTACTATAATACTTACTTTCCTTTATATAAATAAATAAATATACCATGGACGCAAAAAAATCTATATATAAAGTCAGGTAAGCTTTAAGAATTAGACTAAAAATGAGTACTCTAATAATATAATGTATGAAAATAAAAAAGTACATAGTATTTAAGTTATAAAACAAAGTAATTTAAATTTTAGATACATAAAGTGTCAACAACAGGGTTGTTCTCTTTCTTTATGAATTTGCGTCCATTTTGTGAGACCCTTATCACTTCTAGTAAAATGAATTCGTTAAAGGACCCTCGAGATTAATGTTGCTTAAAAGCTTTTAGGTTATTCACAAGGATATGTGAGTACATTGATAATAAAGTAACATTTATGCTAAAAATGTTGAACAAAATTGCACGAGTTTGTGCCAAAAATTAATCATTTATTAAAACTGCACGAACCTTCATAAATATGTTTTATCCCACTCTTTCTTTTTGAAAAAATAGAGGCAGCATTATGTTTCGCGTAGGTGTTCCAAAGTATAAGCCTACGATTTCGATGATCGAATAAACACGTCGCTTTATAATATTACTTAGGATTATTGGATAGTATAAAAACTTAGTGACGTCCCTTCTTTGTCTTCATAGCTCTGTAACTAGCAAAAGTTACATCGTTATAATGATACGAGTTGGAACTTTGTCACGCTCGTCGTTATGAGTTCCTGTGACGTCGCCTATTGTTACCTTCTTTTTGTCTGGATTATTAATGTCATATTCATTGTTTGTAATTCTTTTGGAAATTCATTTTGAAATTTTATTTAGCTTGTTTTTCTATCATTTTATTATGGGAATTACGAGACTCATATCACGTTGTTTCGTCGTCACTCAAACTTCTTTTTTCTTCTAAGTTACAAACTTCTTGGTTGATTCTAATAGCCAATTTGAAATGACTAATGTAAAACAATCTTCTATAACTTCTTTTGTTATATTACAATCTTGCTAACACAAAGCTATGTGGCTATTGTAATTTAAGACCCTATAAGCCTTCATATTGCATCCATCCGAAAACCTTTATGTTCTCTTTTGTTATGTTTTATTAAACAATTACTTTTTGTTCTATTGTGCACAGGCTATACTCGCATCCCCCATCCTCTTGATCGATGGCTATCGTTTGTGCGTAATGCTGCGTATCGCTACATCATTAGTGAAATTGCTACCTTATTCCTCCTTCTTGCTCCTCATCCATTGAATCCCTTGTCACTCTTAATGGATGGATGTATTATACATTTCTCTTATAATTCTTACATGGTATAATATAATAATAGTTTTTTTTAGTTGTTTATTACGGTCTGGTAGTTTTGGTTGAATCTATGATTAAATAAAAACGTATGGTTTTACGGATTACGGGAATATTTTAACGATTCGTCGTTAATATAAATAGTTTTAAAAGATAATCTTCTCCAATGGTGTTTGTCTCCATGTAACGCACTAACTTGATTACATCTCTCACAATCACATTTCTCTTCTCTATAGACTTGTTCTTTGTCTATTGTTCCTGCATGCTTTTGTTCGTTTTTATCGGAATTGTCAGCTTCTTTCACTTGGATATATTTTTGTAAGTTCTAACGAATTTACACCACTGTTTTATTTGTATTTCTTATAAGATAGATGAAAAATGATGTGTATTTTTAATAAAATATTACTTGCAAGCAATTTGCAAGACTAGTGTAGGTTTGATTGACACAAAGCTTTGAATTTCGTGTCAGATATGTTACAGGTTGTGTAAAACTTACGGATAAATGTAGTTATGGAATTTATAAAACAGTACTTGACAGGGATTGAACCCGAACTTTTACATTTCCAGTTCTATGCTTAGCAAATGCATCACAAAGGCTTTTCACATTGCTCTGTCAAAATTATATAGATAATATTAACTGATTGTATCTTATCACTAATATTATTTTATAGACTTGTCTCATCCTGTTTATTCTTTGTCAGTTTCTTTATTATTTTTATCTTTATAAAAGTAAGTTCAGGAATAAAAATTGCCTTTCTTTAAATTCGAGATGGAAATTGAGTTCAATATTTTTCGTTTCAAATTTTTCATTTGTACAAGATTGGATTCGTGCCGGGCTAATTGGCTTTTTAACTTCTCTGATATTTTAAAAGAAACTCTTTGATTAACTCGCACGAATTTGAATAAAAATGGAAATATTAAGATCCAAAATTGTGATATTTGCCTTTCTACTAATGTGTAATTATTACAATGGAGGATAGTCTAATTGACAGTTAGACGACACTGATATGGGAAGTTAGTTTGACCTCAAATCGCTGTAAAAAGGTATATTGGTTGAAGAAAACAGAACATAAAATATTCTCTACATTTTTAAAGGCTCGTAGGCGATTATGATCGTGCTTAAAGGCTTCAGTCCTTCAAAAGCCTTTGAATTGCCGACCATTTCACACAAAAGGAGCGCGATTTTTCACGCAAAGGCGACTATATTTCTTTCTGCTTTCCAATGGTTTCCGACCTTGCTTTTGACTTTTACAACCAGTATAAAATAGTGGCATTGTTACTTATAGATATGAAAAAATACATATATAAATAAATATTTGCATAATTCTATATATTTTTATGTTACGTTACATACACTGTATGATGTAATTGAAAAATATTGTAAAAATTCGCTGAAATGCTAACTACGCATCGGCCTGTTTGAAGCCGTATAGTTTGCGATTGTTATTCGATTGATCTAGTTTTTCCAGGTAACTTCTAGTGCATATTGGCATGTTTATTAAACAGTATGTCTTTACACTGTAATAACTGAAGGGTTCGCAGGAGAAAAAGATAAATAGCAAGCATAATTGGTAATGTATAACTTGTGAAGGGTGATATTATTTACAGGGGTGATAGATGTGGAGGAAGAAAACCTGATGAGCCAACCCTATGTGAGTCGGATAACGACTAGACATGATATTGTAGGAACCAAAGTAATCATAAGATAATGAAAAAATCAATAAACAGTTTGAAAACATAGGTCCCGAAATAATCTTTACGATGTCACGCTTCAAATTACATTATTCTCCTTCAAGACGTAGATTTCCCATTAAATTTACGTCAAGAACGAATCCAGTAAAGGTTAATGAGACTTTCCAGAAATTTCCTCTTCCGCATAAAGATTAATGGTTTTTCTCGTAAATTTAAGTGAATCGATGAGCTCCGGGTAATTTGAGGTAACGACCTATTTGCTTTGCCAAAGAGTCACGAATTTCCCGTCTTAAATACGAGAGTTGTGCGAACTTTACAGTTATTAATATTCAAAACTTCACCTATAAAGTTATGAACTATCTTAGTACTGCTAAGTTTAGTAAGAAGCTCTTTAGATTTCACATTAATATCAGGAGACTTAAGCCATTCACTGACCACAACATCATCAAGTTGGAAAATGTTATACAACAAAATACGAAAACTTATTATGAACCTTAATTAATAAAGCCACCAAGTCAATAGAATTTGCTGCTTGATTGGACCTGGTTGTAACTCAGAATCTTAGGTTTACGCGCCTAATTATTGTGTCTTCTTGTCAACAGAGCATCTTGGGCGAGTTCAACCGCGAACAGGACGCTTTCATCAAGGGGCAGGAGGGTCGCGGCAGCGGTGCAGCCGTGCCCCCCTGGGTCGGTGCTCCCAATGAGGCCGCGCTCAAGGAGGAGTGCCTCTCGCTCTCCACTGTGAGTATATTTATAGTATTAAAATAATAGGCTAGATATTGTAAATTTTGAGTCCGAGACTTGTACGACAATCGTTACAGGACCGGCGTAACTTCGTGCGCGCGCCGCCCGCTGGCGTAGACTTCGACTTTGATTACGACAAGATGTATCCGGTGGCCGTCGCCCTCATGGCCGAGGATCCCAACCTCGAGAAGATGCGCTTCGATCTCGTACCCAAAGTGTGAGTTTACATCTCCTATCCTACTAAGACTACTGCCGTACCGTTCAATTAGTGAATTGCCCCAATTATTCTAGAAGGCATAATCTCTCTGTCGGTGTATTTTATTTATTGTTAATTTCTTCCAGCATCACGGAGGAGAACTTCTGGCGGAACTACTTCTACCGCCTGTCGCTGATCTGCCAGGCCAACGAGGCTGACGCCGCGGCCGGCCGCCAGCCCAGCGCTGACGACTCTCAAGGTACGAATCACAAGTGCTAGGTTAGGAGACGCCATGTGTTAGGTCACGTTGTTTTTTGACATATTTTTTTCTCATCACTATACTTATCGAACACGCCTCATGAGCTTATTCAATTTTTATCAAAGTTTTTTTTATTATTCCTCTAAAATGTTTTTTTTGCACTTTTTTAATCTCATTTTTGATGTTTTTCATTGCAACATTTACGCTCTCTTGTGTTTTTTAATGTAAATATTTGCTTGTTTGTTTTTTTATTTGATTCGTTTTGTTTTCCCTCACCCGATCAGATGATAAATCGGCAAGCGAGAGACTTATATCCAAAGAGAAATCGTCGCAGGAGACGATAGACGATGTCAAGAAACGAATAAAATCGTTGAAAGTCGATCGCGAGAACGACGATGGTAAGACTCACATATAAGAGATGACGTCACAATGTTTTTATAATCAGAGATATTTTGTCTTCTCAGCGAATTTTTATCAAAAGGATAAGTTCCTATTTCTTTGTTTGTTTTGTGCTGTTTTAGTTTGATTTATTTATCATTCATTTCTTTTATTATTCATTCACTTTTAAGACTGATTTAAACTAATATTATTGTTATTTTTATAATATAATGGTATATTTCTTTTGGATTCGATAACTATTTTTTTTTATTACCAACTTTGAGAAATTACGAATGTTTAATGTGGCGGATATTAAAATGATTCGATTTTTAATCTGCCAAAAGGAATATCTGTGTTTTATATCAAAAAGATAATAAATATACAATGTCTTTCCTTTTTTTCTGGAATGCAGCTTAAGCTGGAGCCGGAGTTGTGAGGGGCATCCCCGATACATCTTAATATTGACGATTCATTACAATATCCAATAGCTTCGCGAATTCTATTCAAATGTTGTACTCGATGAGCTCTACTTTCTTTTGGATATAGTATAAAATCGTCAAGCGATGCTTCTGTAAGCCTCAATGTTTGAAGCTCACTATAATACATGTTTCTTGATAGAATAATGCAATGTTCTACAAACTTATTTTTAATTTCCTTATAAAAAAAATGTATTTTATTCTTCGTGTAACATTTAGTTTTAATTACCGGTTATTTTCGTTATCATTTCATTGTTCTATCAGATTTAAATAAAATGTTGTATGTACACGTTCCATATATATATTGTTTCTAATATATAAGATATAAAACTGTTTCTACTATATGTTTCTAGATTCGAGATGTATGTGTACTCATATCTTCATCCTTGTTATATCGTGTGTTTGAGGAATGTTATGACAATAGCTTGTCACATATACAATGTCACACGTAGCCCGTCTTTATATAAGACATTTTACTAAGATTCTCTTTAACGTGTCTATTGGATGGAAATTTATAAAACGTACTCAAATTTACGATGTTTTGACGTAGAAATATTGTCTTAAGTGATTACTATTCATTAAAATGAAATTATTTTTAAACTTAATCAATATTTTTCTTAATATTTACTTTATAAAGTAACTGAGATCTGATATTTAACTTAATTTAGTTTTAGTTTGAGTACGTTTTATTTATTTTTTAACTTTAGAGAGAAATACGTCTATAAATTTTTCTAGTCCCTATAGAAAGTCTTAATGTCTATTGAATGTTATATATATGTATAAGTAAATAAGATAATATTCACAAATATTGTTGTTCTGTTCTCTCTGTAGAAATGTTGCTAATGTTCCTGGGTTTCCACATTGCTATATATTTTTACTAAATTTATTTATATTTCTTTTGGTATGATTTGACGTTGTTTTATGGTCACCATTCATTTCTCAAAGTTGGTCTTTTCTCATTTTAATTAGATAGCAATGTTGAAACACTATTTTTCAAACTTCTGTGTGTTAGTTTGTCCATTTTGATCGGGAGTTTTAATATTTGTATGTTAAAGTCTCTTAGAAAAAAAACTTGAATAAAATATTCACGTATTAAAGTTTCCCCAGTTGTTATTTCATCTAAAATGTAGACGTGTTTGTAAATGTCTAGATTTATCTTGTAAGTGCTGGAAAAAAAGTTTCATCCGATTTAATAAATTTTTCTATAGCAGGCAGCATATCACTTTGTGACAGGTCAATTAACTCGCATCGCATACACATTCTCTCTAAATATTTATTTGTTCAATTTAAAATAAAAGTTGCCATAACTAAAGCATTTTAATAATTTATGTTTGTTAGATTGTAAATTAGTTTTAGGGCAGGGGGGGGGGGTTTGGGGGGATTTGGTGATACGTACAGGCCTAGTTATTTCTCGTTTTCAACCAAAGTTTGCAACTCAGAAATAATAATTTGTTTATTCTATTAAATTTACGAATCTTTACAGTTTATTTTTCAATTTATTGTAAAACATTTTGATGATATATTTCTCATAGAGTCTCTTATGCTGCTAATAAACATATAAATATTGTTTATATCTTATATTAATCTGTATGAGTCGATTATAATATATTTTAGCTACTTTTAGACCGTATAGCCGTGTTACATACATCTCTTAGCAACTGTGTAGGGACACAATTCTCTGATGAATTGTTTAGTGAAATCATATAGTGAATAATGGCATTTATAGTTAGCTATTATTAATTGATATAATTATATTATTCTAAAATAGCATTCGCATTTTTATTTTCAACTTAAGCAAAAAAACAAATGCTACAAAATAAATCGCGAGAAAAAAACATTGCCATGAAATACAAGAAAATGGCAACTTATTTAAAAAGATGATAAATAAATTAAGCAATGAAATTAACGAAGACAAAATATTTCATTCGGGTAAAATTTCAATTGGAATATTGATTTTATGTCTTTTTTTTAAAAGTTTAATAAATTAAATAGATTATAAAATTTTCAGAGCAATGGGAGAAAGAACTTGAGGCGGAGTTGAAAGAGTATGAAGTGGTGGCGGAGAAGAGTGGAGATGATAAGTGGGAGAAAGAGTGCGATGATCTCTTGGAAGATGATGTTGATCTCAAGTAGACAAACCTTGGCAAGTATTGGCATCGGTTGGCAAACATTGTCAATGATTGGTAATTGCTGCTTATAATTGGCAATTTTTGTCAGTAGTTGACGTTGTCAATCTTTGGCAATCGTTTGCAATTGTTGGCATCATTTGGCAATTGCTGACCATAATTGGCAGTAGTTGTCAATTTTTGCCAATCGTTGACCGCAATCAAGACGGGGAAGAAAGAAGAAAGCATTTATTGCAAATATTTCTCAAATATTAATGTATAGAGTATTAAAATTTTATGGTAACAGCTAAAGGCATTTATTTCTTAAACTCATTGATTTGCTTCAAACCAACTGTTTATTTTTTTTATTACTATGTTTTGTTATTTAAAATTTGTAAAAATTGTAAAAAATATTTAGACGAATTCAGAATTTTGTTTTTAATTATTTTAATTTTACATTCGTCAATTAAAATATTTTATAAAATATTTTCAAAGTAAACATTTTCATAAAATTATTAATTAATACAAAATATTAAATAATTAAATTAATAATGAAATAAATGGATACAAAAAAATATTGACCTTTATTCGATAGTTTGAAGTTTATATTATATTTAAAATTAAAAAAAAGAACAAAGTCAAATTGATAACATCCTTCTTTTTGTAGTCGGATAAAAAGCATAATTTTAGAAATATACGTTTTATTTTTGGTTTAATGCAGCTTTTCGTTATTTAAATAAAAAAAAAACATTTTATCAGTGTGGCTTATATAAAAAATATTCTTTGATATAGGGTTTTTTATGATATACTGTCTATATTTTTGTGTATATTATTTTGTAAGTTATTTTTTGTAAATATTTCTTCTTTACATTCGCTTTGTTTATATTGTTTAGCTTATATAGTTTGTATATTATTTTCTAGTTTTTAAATTAAATGTGAAGTTGATAATAACAATTCGCCTGATGCATTGTGTATTGTTAAAACATTCCAATATTGTGTGATTAAAAATAAACAACCGTAAATTCAAATCGACTAATATTTTTTACTCAATTTAATCTGAACCTATGCAATATTGCTTTAATTAAAAGTATAAAAATAATATCAAAGTACTCTATTGATTATAAAGGTAAGTTTCCACTGTCGAAATACTCGTTCATAAACATTTTGTTCCATTTACTCTGAACAATTCTGATACATATCCTCTATGGGCAGTTAGTCAATATAAACTCAATGTAACATTGACTCTCAGTCAATCTTCTTCTCTTCTTCTAATGCCTCTCCATTGAGGAGGTTGGCCGTCAGCTCAGCGAACCCTTTCCTGTCCTGTGCCAAGCGAAAAAGTTGTTCAACTCTGGCAATATTGGTCATATTTTTCGTGTCGCAAGACATGGTCCATATGCAACTTTTCTTTTTTCTCAGTCAATCGGAAATTCTCAAAATAACGCTACATTTATAGAGAAATGAAAAAATATGAACTGATTAATATAAACGATAAAAAAGTTAAATCAATGTTAACCAAATGATATGTTCGACCGTGAGTTAGTTATGAATAGTAATGTAAACTACATTTCAATATGCAGCCGCGATCACCATTGACCCGGGTGTCGACTACAAGGTTACGTGTAACTTACGAGTTACGTTGCAGATAAGTATAACTTAGGTTTAGGTAATGACCTACACTACTATACAAACTTTACGGCTGCTCGAAATTTCACAAAAGACGCTGAGTTGACCACTAAGTATAGTTCTTTGCAAATATCTTGGCGGCCCCGCATCCTGCTAGGCGACTTGCGCGAAGTTAAAGCCGCCAAGCTATCTGAAAACTAATGTACCGCGCTTTAGGGATAAATTCTATCCAACCTAATTAAAAAGCAGTTAACTACAGATTATTCATAAATTAAACTTATTTCGTAAACCAAGCGGTATGCCATTAATACTATTGTAGTGTCGTTATACATACATTTAACATAATTTAGGACGCTGTCCAACCTTCGTTACCGCAGCCTTGAAGATGTCACGTCAATTGACACAACAGTTATTGTTGTCGAATTAATATTTTGTATAGTTGCGTGTGAAGACAAAAACTAAGTAAAGAAGGTCGTGCAATCGCGAGGATTGAACCTGCAGTCTGTCAGTCGAGCTGGGTCATTTCTGTTGCGACGTTGCTTTTAATTTAGTTCCGATATTAAATCTAGTATCTTCTCAATATTATTAAAGATAATTATAAATGAAATCCATCCAGTAATTACATGTGATTTCAAATTAACTTTTTACTCATCGTAGCGCTTTAGTGATTGCAAGAGATAAAGTACAGTTTTTATTACATTTATTTAGTGTTATATATCAAAGTGTCAGGATGCGTTACAAGTTCGAAATCATTTTGTTGGTTATAAATGTTATTATTGGTAAGTATATTTTATATTTAATCGCTAGTATCCAAAACAGTTATCCCAAAGAGGTCCAAGATCCCTGCGATCGTAGGAGACTCGGCGACGGTGTAAGATGGCAGGAAAAAAAGTTGATGATTTCCAAATTGTAGAAATAATGCAGTGAGGGGTCGATCGAGCAAGGTAATCTTGAAAATGGTCTATGAGAAAAAACAACTCTGGTCTAAAATCATTGTAGAAAGTAATTTTCTATTCCTGGAGCTAGGTCACGATGACGATCCTTGATGCCTTGTTCTATGTATGTACTCCTACAACTTACGCGTATGACGCGCACTTAATTTGGTTTTAAAATTATTCATGGTAGATATATTAACATAATAATATATATTAAAATTTGAATCTTAATATTTTTTGTACCTCACACAGTTTATAATTGTTTTTATAAGAATATATAATATCTTAGGTTGAAAAAAAAGTCTTATTGTTATTTTAAAACGTAATTTAATTTAAAGAAAAAGAAGATATATATTTTTTTTCATTTAGACTTTAATATACAATTGCAGTTGCCTAATTTATAAAAGGTGGAACGGAAAAGAATTCAATAGGAATGGGCAAACGGGCCTAATAGTTTATACGGGTCAGTTCTACCAAAGATTTCTTCCACAAAATCACATATAATGAATATAAATACAGAAAACATATGATGCACGGGCTATTTATCAATTCTACTATGTTGTACTAAGTAAATCTTACCATATACAAGTACAGTATGGTCAAGGACATTGTTAGTCGCGTTCTAAGTAATTATAACTAGTGTTATTTATAACTAAACCACAATTACAAAAAACTTTAGACATAAAATTTACATATAAATGTTGACCACAAGTATTTATGTCTTATACAATCGCATAGGTATTATTAGTGATTCTAATATTCTACACAATTTGATGTAAACTTTAATATAACGTCCGTTTTCATTGCCAAAACATATTGCTATGTTGTTTTTGCAAAGGGTATGATTTTTGTACAGGACTTTTAACAGTAAATACCCACAGTAAAATAAAAAATGTCTATACGGGACGAATCAATGTTTTCTACAACATGCAATTTGTTGAATATCAACGTGGCAATATCAAGACACAATAACATGATACAGAGAAATACTGTTTTTTTATCTTTTTAACATAATGTCCTGATGTCGTGATTTCCGTTACGAAAAGGTCAGACTTTTATATGTTTTTTTCTTCAGTTTATTGGCATGACAAGGTCCAACAATGCCGGATGCAATTTTTTTTCCAGATTATAAACAATACGACATTTAAAAATATAATGATTTAACCTGTTATATCTATATTTTAAGATGCTTTGAATTGCGTCATGAATGATGTTCTAGTGACGTCGCCGTGCATGGCTCAGAGGAACGCATCCCTGCCACTGTCACCCGTCAGTTTCCGGAACATTCTACGCGCTATGGCGCCCGGTACGTAACGTATTATATGCACAGAAATAATCGCTTCCCACTAAGAATCAAATATCTTAAAACAAACTGACAAAAAAGGAACTGTAATGTAAAGGACGTATTTTTTTTAAATATAATAAGTTGGCAAACGAACAAGCGGCCACATTTATTCACCGAAATATCGTAGAGACCATTGACCATAGACATCTGAAATTGCAAATGAGTTGCCTACCTTGAATTCATGAAGAAGGGGAAACACAGAATGTGGATATGAAATGAGGCCTTTGGCAAACATCAGACGAAACGTGGAATAACTTGCACTTCACATCTGTCTTCTGTGTGGTCGTGGTATCTCATCGGCATCATTTTTTTGCTATCGTGTACCACTGTCATATGCTGCAATGACAAGTTTTCGAATGTATTGTGTTATTTTACCGAAATGGGTAGGAAAAAACGTTCTCGACTGTATTACAGTATTATATATAACATAGTATGTTAAGATGTTGATATATTGATATGTGCGTGTTACATTTCAGTTCCGCGCGGCCGAGTTGCTAACTCCAAGGACGTTAGAATACTTTATTACGGGTGAGTTGTTATGCTTATCTAAAAACGTAATTTTTTTGAGAAAATTGCTTGTTTTTTTATGAAAAATTACGTAAACATTATACAATAGTAAATAAGTCGGTAGGTAGATTTTAATCGGCGCTTAGGGTAACTGCAATTTACCAATGCGACAGTTTATAATTTTTGTGTAACTTCAGCAAGGACATCAACAAGCCGGTCGTGTATCACTACGCGAACATCAAACAATTGCTGGCAGACCCCGAGTTTGACTTAAGCAAACCCACATCACTGTACATTCACGGGTGAGTAATGTAAGTAACGTGATAATTATTGTAGCTAACCTTTGTTAATTATGTTATAAATTCGTTAATTGAAGACAGAGTCGCGGGCGACAGCTAGTAATTTATAAGCCCTTGTTTGTTTGACCACGATCCCACGTGATCAGTGGCGATGTAATCGAAATATAGAATAGGCACTTGTTTAACAAGTACCTATTCTACTCTTAAAGATGACGTCATACTTGTAACTCTTTTTATAAAATGAGTTGATATAATCAAGAGATTGTGTAGGTACGTGGAGCAGGCGACAGACGACAGCATACTAACTGTGGTGAGGGCGTATCAGAAACGCGGCGGTCACAACCTGCTATTGCTGGACTGGAGTAACCTCGGCTTCGGCAATTACATCAACGTTATACTGGACTTGAAGCTGGTTAGAACGAAAGACGAGATTTTTTGGAAAAGAGAGACATAATTAACAACGAAATATGCTAATATTTTCATTGTATTTGCAGTTGGGCGAGGAAACAGCGAAGGCAATGGCAAAGTTACTCAAAGGTGGTCTCTCTATCGACGGGCTGCACTTGATCGGTCACTCGCTCGGGGCACATCTCGGCGGCTTTACCTGCAGATATTTGAAGAATTTAGGATATAAAGTTCCCAGGTGTTGTTACCATTCTATAATATGCAATAACTAGACTACTTATAAGCAAGTGAAGTAAATAATGGGAAACTAGTACTTTTAAGTTTATTTAAAACTTGTTTTCTCTGTTCATGAATGAAAGTGATCAGAAAAAACTGATAGTTAATTTCTTGCAGGTTAACGGCATTAGACGCGGCGTACCCGGGCTTCTACCCCGCGTTATTCCTGAAGCCTCTCAGTGAGCAGGACGCGCGCTTCGTCGACGTCATCCACACTGACGGCGGGGGCTTCGGCGCGCCCCTGGCCATAGGCCACGCAGACTTCTGGCCTAACGAGGGCCGCGCCAAGCAACCCGGATGTTTGCCACTCACTGTGCCTCTTACTGTGGAAGGTACATCATTGCTATAGCTCTCATGTTCATTAATAACCAATTTACTTTTAAACTGAATTTACGAACTTTTAGTAAAAAAAAATTAAAATAATTTTGTAAGTCGCCGGTGCTGGCTTGGAATAGCTTGATATGTTGTTTTATAATTTACAAGTTTAAAATATTGTTTAATTGATAGATAGTTGATATTAACTTTTATGATAACTCTTATGAGTTTTATCAATAGCTAGCACTAGGTATTTAAGCTCCTGCATAAATAAAATAGCAATTGTAAATGTAATATGTTTAATGTAAATATTGCTAATATATATCTATCCACATCACGTTAATAAGTTAGTGCAATAATTCGTCAGACTTCTGCAGTCACTGGAGGTCGTGGCGGTTCTGGGCGGAGTCTGTGGAGGGCGGCGAGTTCGCGGCGCGGCGCTGCAGCGGGTACGACGCGTTCTTGCGCGGACATTGCCGCACAGAGCCCATAGTCTACATGGGGTACAACGCTACCTCCCTGTAAGTCTTACTTTTTACTTATCATTATAAATGAGGGAGTTTGGATGGAACTTTGTAACTATATAACTCCGTAATAGCTGATCTGATCAAGATAAAATTTGGAACCAAGATAAGCCTATAATAGTAACATTATAAATGCAAAAGTTTAAATAGATAGATGTTTCTTATCACGCTACTTAAAACAGTTTATCGGATTCGCATGAAATAGAACCAAGTCTGGAATACATATGCCACTATTTGTTCCAGAAAATTTACAGCTTTTGCGGAATATATTTTAAGCACACATTGATGTTTTATTTCAGGTTGCGTGGAAATTATTATTTAAGGACGGCCGCGGAATCTCCCTTTGCATTGGGTGAAAGAGGAGCGGACTGATTCCAACAATCAATACAATAATTATTATTTGTTACATTATAGACGACATAAAGAAACAAAAACCTGCAATAGCTGATTAAATCTTAGTTTAATATAACGTATAGTTTCATTCCCAACAATTAATTCGTTATTTATTCTCAGAATTACCGCCATATTTGTTACAAAAAACATTTATTCATATCTGCGTCAAAAAAAAACAAGGAAAACAATTTAGATGTCATGGGAAATAAAATTGTAAATTAAAAATTGTATTTAATTACATTATAATTAAAAATAAATTATGAAATAAACTTAATCGTCTTCTAAACTATCAGGTAGAGTCGTTCCTTTCGTCTCTGGAAGTAATAAACAGACAATCCCAGCCGCTATTGGCGCAAAACCGAATATCAAGGTAGGTAGCCATGACACTGTTAATGATAAATTGGATACAAACGGTGCTATCATGGATCCAATCCTCATTGACATTGAACTTGAACCCATAGCCATGTTTCTGACTACAGTCGGGAATAGTTCCGAGGTATAAATGTATATGGTAGAAGCAACTATGGCTGCGCAGCTGACTCCTAATGTTCCGAGGGTCAACGTGATCCAGAAATGATCAGGAACCACCCCCAGCACCACCACACACACGCCCCCGAGTGTGAAGAACATGACTGTTGTGATCTTTCTCCCAAAGTACTTTATCAACCATATTGATAGAAGATTCGATGGAATCTGAAAGAGAAACACTTAGTTTTATTTACTATTCGTGTTAATAGTTCGTTCGATTTTATTTTAGAGAAAAGGAGGAAAACAGTTAGTAAGCAGTACTTTTATTTGCGTACTGCCTAAGTTTTCGGAAACCTTTTCCTTATTGACTTCATTGTCTGCACAGAATCTACTCTTTAAGATATTAAACGGATACGTCATTCCTTTCAAGTAAATCCAAGGATTCTCTATCGATAGCCACAAGGAAATCTATGATACATCTTCATTCATTGTGAGGAAAATAACATCGTCCTTGATCGCGCGTGCTATGAATTTTATAAACGCGCATGTTTTAACAGCGGTAGAGCCCGCTTTAACATCTTCGCAGGAATCGGCCCGGTTCGCCCGGTGAAATACGACGACCATACAGAAGACAGGCGTGAAGTGGAAGCAATTCCGCGTGCAGTCTGATGAGTGTGTGTCTCGGAGGTATATAGTCCTCTTTCCCTTCCCACCCTCTTTCTTATAAGAAAAGGAAGGGAAATGGAAGTTGACTTTCCGGATGAGAGGATGCATGGAAAGGGAAAATATTTTCTTTCTGTGCATCCTCTCCTCCGTCGATTAAAGGTAGGCAACGCATATGCAATTGCGTATGTCTATAGGCAACGGTCACTTCGCTATTTCAGCGATTTCAGGTGGCCGCTCGCTCGTTTGCCACCTTATGATATAAAAAAACATACATATGTATAGACTATATAACAAAGGTCAAGTCACACATACAGATATATAATCATACAATTGATTGAGTTTTATACCATTAAGGATATTATAAAATTGAAAGTCACTTATACAATACTAACTAAACAACAAGAAGATTAATATGTCTGTTTATCTTGAGACATGCCAGTTACCTGTATAGCCCCAGCTGCTGCAACGCTGATGAAAGGATCAGGGCTAGTCTGGCTGATGTACTGGTTGAAACCGAAGAACGTTAGCCCACTGATGGTCCACATGACACAGCAGCAGGCCGTCCTCAGTCGCAATGATTTGCGGAACAGCGCAGAGTAGTTTAACTTCGGTCCAGAGCTACTGCTCTGTATACTTTGTGCTAATTTACTGAGATTCTCTTCTACTTTAGTTGTTGGTAAGTTATTCCTAGAATAAAAGTTAAAGTTTTTCACTATGAATTTAGTTTTACTGCTTCTTTTTGAATTTAAGATGTTTAAAAGAAGTTGATTAGCCTCTAGTTCTTACATAAAAATGGAAATAAAAATCCCCACTGAGGGTCTCGTAACCACGCTGGCCTAGTGCGGGTTGACTTCACACTTATCTTTGAGTTTCTTTTTAGATATGCTCAGTTGCATCACGATGTTTTCCTTCACCGTAAGAACATCGGGTACAAATGTAAATCGAAATGCATGCTAGTAAATGGCGGAATTCGAACCCAGGATCTGCATATTACAAGTCAACTGCTTAACCCCTGAGCCACCGACGCTCTAAAAATATATAGTTCCTCTAAATAAATAGTTATACGACTTACATTTCACAAGCTCTCTTCACAATAACAGTTGCCTCTTTCACCCGTCCGACACTGACCAGCCATCGTGGTGATTCCGTCAGCAAGAAAAAGTATCCAAAATATATAACAGGAGGTATTGCTAATGCTAAACAATAAGAGTCCCAACTCCTGAAGAAATACGCAAATAAAGGCACACTCATATGTCCTATAATAAAAGGGATTTGGAACAAGCAGCCCAATATCTCCCTAAAGTTGGGGCCTGCTGTCTCCATGATGAGTACGAAAGACACGACCATAGTGCCCGATGTTGCAATACCGAGGAAGAACCGGAGGACTGTAAATGTGATGTAATCTGGTGCGAAAGGGATGGCGAATCCCAAGACGATGAGAGCCGTTATCGAGACAAGGAACGTGTTCTTTCTGCCATATCTGAAAAGAATGTAAATATGTTGGAAATAAAAGAAGACGTCACATGAAGAAATATAAGTTTTTAATGCACATAAAATTGTCTTTATGCGACTGAAAGATTCTTAGTCATCGATTTTATATTCTCGTTTATTGAACTGCAACAACAAAGACGTATTATACTGTTGTTTGTATCCAAGCAACTATAAACTCTTTATGAAATTATTTCCGACTTTTTAACTATTTTACTGTAAACTAGCTGTCGCCCGCGACTCCGTCCGCGTGGATATATAAAAAACTTGATATATAGATAAGTTATATAAAAACAACTCTTCAAGGCATAAATTCGAAAAAAAAGAATAAATATTATCCCACGTCCGTTTCCTGGCTGTAAGCTACCTCCTCAACAATTTTCAACCATATCAGTAAAGTCGTTCTTGAGTTATAAATAGTGTAACTAACACGACTTTCTTTTATATATATAGATGATTCGGGTAATATAGATAGCATTTCAATTATTCATCGCTAAAATAATGTCGAATCATGTTTTAAAAGATTTTATCAAAAAAGGTTATGAGGATTTGTGCAACATTTTTTCTTCAAATAAGTATAATATGCTTATGAATTTATCTCGTACGAGATGCAACAAATGTACAAAACATCACTATTTCTCTAGTGTGCTATAACCTTGGCACACTTTGTTATCGTGATATAGGTTTAAATATTTTAATATTTTATGCAGTAAAGTTTTAAACTTGAAAACATATTAAAACTATGTTAAAAGATTAGCTGTCGCTACGCTAGCTACCTATATGTTCTTCCTTCATGTTCTATAAATATGTCAAATTGCAGCGAGATCGATGCAATCTTCCCGGAGATTTTTAACAAACATCCATCCATCCATCCAAACATTCGCATTTAAAATAGTAAGATTAGTTTACTTATGACATGGTTGTAAGCCCGACGACTCGTGACTAGTGTAGTATATATTTTATGATTAAAAAAAACTCGAAATTAGTTCCCTATCCTAGAGTTCTAAGTATGTATCCAGCATGCATATGTAGCATAGTTTTCTAGACAAGTTGCATAGAAAATGATGTTTCAAGAATCGAGAAACGATTTATTGTAGAAAAAAGTGCGCCAACACTGAGATTTATTTCAAATAAAAGGTAATTATTAACTCGCTTAATAAAACAGAATTTTATTATATCAAATTATACTTACGCATCTATACAATGGTATTTGATATGCTTTAACGCGTAAAATGATGCGTTTATTAAATTTAAAATTAATAATTTGTTAAACCAATAAACATATAGTCAATGCCAAAAGTTATATGGCAAGAGTCATTTCGAAATAACCCATTGTTTTTGTTAAGTCAAGGTCAATTGTATCCGAACGCCAAATGGGAGATCAAAGAACATACAAAATACATCTCCAGAGTAGGTAAAGAACCGGTACTTGCTTATATTAACCACGAATTAGAAATAATCACGACTCACGATGTTATAATCCGATATACTATTATATATTTAATCAAATGTAATGGTTATTATATATCTTCTTTGTTTATTTCCTTAAGAATATCCGTAATAAAATTTGATGTTAATAGATAAAATAAATTACAAGATAAATATACAATCAGGATTTAATCTCATGTTAAAAATACTGTTTGGATATGTTGGTTTAAACATTATTGATGTGTAATTCTTTCTTAAGGAATTAAAAAATATGAATATTTTGTTTCGACGCTTCAAACAGTGATGATATTCGTCTCCTTTTAAACTTTTTTTGATGTATATCAAAAACAAATTTTGCTAAAGACATTCCTTAAACGTTTATCACTTTACATTCTGCATGAATCTAATTAAATACAGTAACTTTAAACAAGTTTACTATGTTTGGAAATTCACATGTTTCGTATAAATAGATAAATGTTGCCAAAACCGGGTTAACCAGTCAACAAGTATTTAAATGAATTAAACTAGCTTAAACATTTAATTACATGTTAACTAGTTAGCTGGTTACTAGTTAACTTAATCTCATTCAAAACAAATCAAAAAATCACGACTCTTTAAGGGTCAATAAGAAGACAGCGCGATCTATTGACTGCTTTTAAAAACAAAGATTTTAAAAGTTTAAAAATTTTAATTGCAATTAAATATACTCTATAGTAACGCTTTTTATTTAGAATAACTCAAAAAACATTTTAGCGATAAAATAGTAACAATTAGTATAATAAGATTCGAATTAATTTTTCTAATTTACTTCCTCCGTGGACTGTATTTTATGATCCGATCTGAATATACCCTTTAAGAATCCGAGAAAGAAGATGAATCAAATGAGACTTTACTCGTTAAAAATAAAAGTCGTCAATGCTCTAGTTCGTCATAATAAAATTTACATACATACAAACTCACATAAAAAAACTTACGTGCGATAAACTCTAGTTATTAACGCAAATTATTCAGGTCATGCATTTTGTTTACTTACCTATCAGAGAGAAATCCAAACACAATACTGCCGATTAGTATCCCAAACTGCAGGACTGTCTGTGTGAAGCTCGCCAACCAACTCCTGCTGCAGATCAGATCCCATTCTGATACAATCGTGTTCTCAAATGGACTCGGATCATACTCGTATTTCAAACAATCGTCATAACACGTTGAGTTATCAGCAATTCGGCTTGTATTAGAAAATTCAATGCACCAAAAATTTAATTTCGGTGTTAAAAAGAGTACTGCCATTTGAACCCAGCCGGAGGACAGTTTCACAAGAGAAACTGTTGCGCAAACTAAAATCTGCCACCGTCCTATGTGGCCGAGGATTTTCGCGAAGCCATCTTCTTTTTTAGCGCTGTTTATTTGCGATGATAGTTGGATTACCATTTTTATGTAATATATAACCTGAAAAATATATTTTGATATGATTATAGATTTCTACAATACGTACTAATACTTCTTTCTAATTGTTTTTATTTTATTTAAGTACATAATATCTTTGTTTTTCTTGTGAAAACAGATTAAAATAGTTGTTTAAAAAATAATTGGATCGTAAATATAAATAAATATAACTATATAACACTTTAATAATGAGTGTGTTTTAAATTTTTAATCAATCGATGGAAGAATTTAAAATTATGCATGTAGGACTGGTCACTGATGATCACTAATAAGGATATACCACTTTCAAATTTTGGATTTTATTAGTAGACAACATAACTTTCGATTGTCTCTTTTCTATTCAAGTAAAAGGCATTGAAAACAACTTTATGAACAATGGGACAGGCTAAAAGAGAAATATAAATATTATGAATACTTTAGTAAAGAAATAACAGACAAGCTTGCGATCCTTACATAGATTGATGTCCGTTACTTTGTTATAAAAAACATGTAAAACAACTTACCCTTTTGTGATAAACAAAAACATTAATTTTTCACACACTCAAATCCATTGCTTTGAGTAAAATATTCACAATGTATTCTTAAAATGTTATCACAGATTAAATAATTTTTAATTAATATGTTAAAATTACATTATTTTACAGATTAAAAATCGCAACATACACGTATTTATATAAGAAGACATAAACACTGAATGAGTGAGGAAAACGAGATACTAACTAGTCGTGAGAGCCTTGTCTCTGACACTGACGATATAGTAAAACTGATATTATAAGCGCATGAAACCCCTATAACATATTGGTTAAGGGAATGGATTTTCGATCACTTGATCCGGGATTCGAATTTCGTACTTTGACTACTACCATATTTTAGTCTAGAGTTTAATTTAGAGTAGGAATGATAACAAAAAACATTTGTAAAGAAATAATCTGGAAATATTTTTAAAAACGAACACAATATTCAAACATAATTGCGGTGGTAAAATGCAAGCGTACATATACATATGTCTGCTTCAGGGTCTACTGAGGGTGGAGGAAAAAACCGCAAAGAAATTAACTATAACTTATTGCTTTTATAGACAAAAAATAATTCTAAAAACGAATGAGGAAATGGGAAGAAAAACATAACATAGCATGATATGCAAATTGTATACAGTAAGTACATTGCATATAAAAACATACAAGTGATAAAGATAAGATTATTGCTTTGTAAACAACACTTGCTTTTGTTCAAGACGTAAGATTAATATAAAATTAGGTTGACGGCTCAAGACATGAGATAAATTCTTCGGCAAATACTTATCTTGATACGAGTATTATGATTAAAGATATAATATATATACAATAAGACAATTTACTGATAAAGAGGATTTAGAGAAAATGAATGTCTTAAGGAGACATGCTTATAAAACGAAAACATTTGTCATTTTCAATCAGAAAAAAAAACAAAAGTATTTTATTCAATTTAAATATAATATTCAACCTCTTTGATGCTACTGTACCGTACTGGCCATACGCACGCGGCGCCAAAAAGAAAGAAACAAAGTGAATAAATAGATGTGAATCGAGCGGGAAATTTAACATTGTTCTTATTGATGGTTGTCATAAAATGATATATTTCTTAGATAATAGACCACACGATATTTACATCAATATTCTGTAAAGCAGTATTCCTTCGTTCAATCATTACACAACAAAAACCAAATAATGATTTTGATTTCAAGTTATCTTAATGTATTTCTTACACAATAAGTAACATCCTTTTGTAGTCGCTTTGCAAGATTTTCGACACTGAAGACAGGACCTTGTGTTGTCCTCGAAACACACAGCATATGTTAATTTGTAATTTGTACGATAAATGGATATCATTACTTTAAATATAGTCATGAATCTAAACGTGGTAGTACCCTGTGGATATCCATTCGGATATTAGGACACCATACCAAGTTTGATGGTAATTTGATCAATGGTTTAAAACTTATCTAAGGGAACAGATAACTAATATATATTAAAATGTATATTCATTAGTATATATCACGACAACCAAATCAACAAATAAGTTATAACATGATAAGTTACAAAATAGTAAACATATATGTCGAGACATAAGGAAAGGTCATTCACTTGGGAGGCTTGAGGAAGGTTTGCTATGGTTACGCAAGCCACGCGAGATACATGTATTTACTACTACTACTAATAACTACTTACTTAGTGTAGATTTAATAATAGAAATCAACACTAAGGAACTGTAGTAAGTAGTAACCGATTGAAAGTAGACGATAAATACAGGTTAATAACGCCTACATTTGTGGAATAGCAATTATATTGAAACGAACATACATGAACTCTTTTTCAGGTCTGTTTATTTAAATCATATATGTTATCATATAATATATTTTAAATATTAAAAGGAAAAAAAACTAGAAGGAATGAAACTCATTTATTACCACACACATACAAGATAACAAAAATATACAGTACAGATATATAAAAAAAATTAATAGAAAAATGTGGCAAAAGGAGCTTAGCTTACAGTATGCAGGGACATCTAAACAGTCAGCGCGAGTCATCAGTTGGCTGGCTGGCTTCAGGAATGATCATATTAATATTAGTAAAGTAAGTTTTTATTGTTTATTCGAAAAAAAGAAGAGGATTCTTAACGTTCTTTTAGATCCGTGTTCAGTTTTCGTTTTAACTATAATTTATATTGCCTAACACTCTTGTAAGGTAATAGGATGTCCTTGTTATAGCATTATATCATCATAAATCCTTGTACGGAGGAGCGCGGAGGCTGTATGATCTCATGGTGCTTTCTATCGCGACTCACAGCTGGAGAAATTGAGGAAAAGCTCATTCAGAAGTAAGTGGTGTTAGTGTCGGGACCGTCTGTAGAATAAAGCAGTACGTACTATTTTTCAAAATTTAAAAAAAAGACACAAGTCAATTTCGAGCTTAATTGGCAAGGACTCAATTACAAAGTATCAATTACTCATTTTAAAATTAAAAAATAAAGCATTTCTTGTAAATTTTTTTGAGGACTAAGCGTGTTAATGTTTCATTATTTTGTAGATTTCGTCATGAGACTTAAGCGTTTGTATGTAGCGGTTTTATTTTTGGTGTTTTCATCAATATTCTGCGAGGAACTAACTGACAAACCAAACAACTCAACAGTGGAATACGACCCGGAATCTTTGCTAATGTAAGTATTTATTTTTAATAAAGTGTGAAATAGTAATAAAAAGAGAAAGCAATCTGTCAATTATGTCGGTAGTACTTATGTATTCGTATGAGGATCTAAGTATTTACGTGGCAAAGGGTACAAGCCCTATTTAAGTATTTTTGGGTGATTCAATGAACTGTATTAAATGACGTCATGCTTCAATTTTAATATTCTATCTTGGATTAAACGTGATTATATGTGATTTATAAGACAACAAAAGTGTATTAAATTTATTATTTTCAGTAAAATTTTCAACCTTAATGGAACTATACAAAGCCGAGCCAAATTCAAATTCGAAGATGAAAATCAAGACCTTTATTTTACCACAAACGAAGCAACCAATAATTATAAAGTCAATGATAATGTTCAATACTCGAATGAAGGCAATGGAGAGAAAATAACATTCAAAGACAATAATAGAGTAGGTAGAGTTAAGAAGAGGAGGAGGCGCAAACCAAGGCTGCAAGGACCTCAGGGGTTGGTTCCTGGATATTACGGACCTTACGCACCTAATCTACAAACAACAGGCATTGGAGGCTCTCCGTTTTATGGCCAAGATCCGAATGATATTTATAGTAAGTGTAATTTAGTATACTCTTAAAAAGTTGTTGTAAAATTGACTGCTATAAAATGTGCAATTTTGCAGTCTTTTTGCACCAAAATCTTCGAATAGTTGAACAATGTCCAAGTAAAGTTACTAACTAAGAAATACGTTAACAGGCACATAATAATTCCTCTCAAAATAGTTTGCATTTCATTGCTTCTTTGGTGATTGTGAAAGTTCCGTGCCCGTTAGTATCGAATTCCGATAAAACAAATAAGTTCGCTCTCTTAGTGACCAAATCACTTTGGGTCTTAAAATTATAAAATACAATACAAATTAATAACTAATATTTTTTAGGGCCACCTAAGCGCCAAAGACCATCACTGGCATCGGAAGCACTATCGTCTGTCAGCGAAGCCCTAACATCGATCGCATTGTTCGACGATCGGGAGTGCGTGGCGCGGCTGTTGTGCGAAGCCGCTAGTGGAGCCCCAGGCTTCGGTACGTTGCAGTCCATCGCTGGCTTGCAGCCTCTACTAACGTAAGAATTCTTATTACATGTACTAAGAATATTTTAACTGTCTGTTACATAAAATTAGCAACAAGTCAAAAATGAATGATTGCTATTATTCTGAAGTAGGAGTTTAACGCGCATGTAAATCGAATTTATTTATAAACAGTAAAATAATTGCAGAACTCATCTTAAACTGTAATTTTTAACATATTTTGGTTTATTCGCATAGTTAATAAGTGGATTCGCACTCGTGACCATAACTAAGCCATTAGTCCTATTGTGATCTCTGCCAGGCCAGTTCCTACCGATATTAACGGGGACTTTCTATACGTGAGGCAACTTCTAATGCAGTAACGGGGCGCTTATCAAAATTATATCTGACCCAATTAAAACTAACAGTTAGCGGTATTTTATTTATTGCAATACCACAACGCTTTAGTTAAAGAATTGTTTGTTTAAAGAATATTTATAAGTAAGAAAAAATATTAAGAAATTTAATCTTTTTTATCTTTGTCAATTCTAGGTTACTCTCTGCATACCGAGGCATCAGTTCTAATCCTCTCTTCGTGTTCGGGCGCGCTGCGTTCCTAGGAATGTCGTCTAAGAACAACCCTGCATCATGTCGCTATGCCTATCCCCTCTGCCCCACAGACCCTGAGCAACTCGTCTTCTACCTCAACAACCATAATGGTGGCTTCTTTAGATTCTTTAACGCGCCACAAAATAGCCAACAGAATATCAACCAATTCTACAATCAGTTGTCCCAAAATTATAACAACCAACAGTACCAATTCCCCCAGAACGGAATTTCCAATTTTCCTTACCAACCTAACCAGATAAATGGTTATCCAACACAAAAATACGGGAATAATTATCCTTATGATCAAAAATATGATTCATTAAACAAAATACGTTTTAAGAATAATTATGAAGAGAATAAAATAGAAAAGCGAATCCAAAATACACCCAGCAAATATTTGGATGATTTTGATTCTTTCGAAAACGTAGATAGTATTACAAAATGGTCTTTTCCTGAGGATAATAATATTAATACGAATAATATAAGAGATGGTAAAGGTTTAAAATTTCCAGAATATTCTTACTACGACAACAATATAAAACAAATCAACAATAGAGAAAGATATGAAGAAAACAAAAGAGATCCAAGAGGTTTTAAATTTCCTGATACCAGAAACATTGAATACGAAATAAACAAGTATCAAGAATTGGATTCACTGGCAAACAAGTATAATTATAATAGTTACAATTACTTAAATTCAGATATCAACAAAGGACATAATAATGAATACGACACTGATCAAACAGTTAGGACAATTTATGTTGTCAGAGGTAATGGCGATCCTAACCATCCGGAAATTATAAAATTGAGGCCAGGACAAACAATATATTAAGTAAAACTGTAATATACTAAATAATAATAGTGTTGTTATGATTTAGACATTTAGATTGTTGTTAATTCAAATGTCGTGATATGTCCCGATATATTTGTTCCAGTTACGGATTAAATTGGTTTCAACTTTCAAGTAACTTTGTAGTAAATTTGAATAGAAGTAGAAGAAAAAGATTTATCTTTCATAAGGTAGCAACGAGCAACTACTTGAATTCGCCGAAAGAGCGAAGCATCTTCCGTAAAATCCAATTCCCTTTCCATTCTTTCCTTACAAGAAAATGTTGGGAAGGAAAAGAAGATTAAAATTAAGCCTGCAGCTCCAAAAATTTCGGGTAACTTAAGGATTTCTAAATTGAAAAGGGCAAACGATATATTATACTTTCGAAATAAACGTATGTTATAAGGATCCTTTTAAAAGCAGGCGCAAACAATTGTACGTAAGACTCAGAATAATAAAAGCTAATTATTTAAATTGTTGCAATTTGTTTCCTCTTGCTGCGAGCATCGTTTCTTATTAACGTTGTCATTTAAGACTCTGCTGATGTTTCTGAGTTGGCCTTAATTTTATTTCAACACCTGTAGGAACGTTCACCCTTTGGAACGAATTGAAATTGCATTTTATAGTTTGCGACACGACGTCTTCTATAATAAGGTGTTCGTCTTCATACATATGTGCTTTGGTAAATGACAAGACAAAGATTTTTTTACAAGTTTTTAATTAACTACATCGATCCTGATGTTTGTCATCAAATTTTGCAAATTAAATTTGATTCACTTCCCGATAGTCTATGGAGCGGAAATGACAATGTAATGTTATGATCACATGGTGCTGACCTGTTGATGGAGCTGAAAGGTGGGCATAGGAACTTCGTGAGTAAATGACACAATCTCATCGAGCTTAGGCTCTTTTGAATCCTCTTGATGAGTAGTCCTGTTTGTTATGTTTAGTTCTTTTAATAAACAAGAACATAATAAATATAGTTTTAAACAGTTTTCTTTATATTGCTTGTTACAGTTGTTAGATAAAAATATAATAAGTGGACTCGTAAAATTATTTACATATAGCATGGAAAAGGTATCTTATCAATAATTCGTTTGACATGTCGTCAACGTGTCGGAATCGTACACAATAAAAATTACATTTATTGGTTTTGTTCATGACATTTGCCAATTTTGGTGCAGCACAGCGAAGGGCTCCTTGAACTTACGTAGGCTTTATTTTTACAGCCTCTTGAAAACCTTATCCAAGAAACGTTTAGTTAATAATGTATTAACGCTGTGTGAAATCTTAAAATAAGTTTAAATGATATAAGTCACGGAAGTGATAAAGGATGAGTATAAGAAACTGGGTACATACGTTAGTGAAATTGTTAATATAAAGTAATCAGTTAAGGTCACAGGATCTTCGTTTAACGATCAGGCAGAGCGGTAGTTTATTCACTACTAGCTGTCGCACTCGACAACGTCCGCACGAAATTAAAAAAAAAAACTAGATTGGTATAGCCTATGTATTCTTTCAGACTTTGGTCTTCATTTATGTCAAATTGCAGCAAGATCCGTTCAGTCGTTCTAGAGATGCCGTTAAACAAACATTCGCATTTATAATAGTAGTAAGATTATTACTGAAAACAATTTGAAAAACAGTTAGTATAATGTCATGAATTACTTTAAATATATTATACATACTATTTTAATTTTTGTTATTTTTTTTTTTAACAGCATTGCATGAAGATAGAAGTTCTATCGACTAACTGGTTCGCGCGTGTTTGGCAACTACCATTTATCAAACACAGATCGATGATTGATTTTTAATGTAAAATTAATGCAACTGTAATTATACTATGATAATATTTTTACGAAATACGCACCTTGCTACTAAACGCCTAGAGAGCGTGTGTGTTGGGAAATGTTAAGTGATTGGTTACCTTAAAAAAAATAACTCTCGCGCAAATTTCATATAAATTAAATAATAAAGACTGAGATGTAAAGTGACCCCTAAATGGTTTAAAACTTATCGATGCCGACACCGAACTTAGTACAATCGAACCTGGATAATCAAGAAACTTTTATAAGCGAGTCCTCATGCGATACCGACCACCATTATAAACGGGAAAAATATCGCAGATACTTGGATTGTCTCTTATTCAGATCCGACTGTTTATTTAAGTGTAGGGATATTTTTAATTATTTTTTGTCTAAGTCTTCATTCTGACTTTAAGGTACATTATTGTATTAGTTCGTTTTTAAACAAGTAAGACAAGAGCTATTAAGGTCCCTTAAACAAATGATATTTAGTGTATTTTACGAGTGACTTTTACGAGTAACAATACGTGTACAATACGCCAATCTAAATCAGTTATAAGATTGTAACATCCTGTCTCCAGGATTAATTATTTAAGAACGTAATATTGCAAGAAAATGTATGTCTATAATCTGAGAAATTACTGCACTTCTAGTGTTGTGAAATAAATAAAAATAACACACTTGATATAAAACAAGGAATAAAAGTTTGTAAAATCGTCGAAAATTAGATGTTCTAATATTAAATTTTAAAACTGACTTGTTTCCAGTTTGTTTAGTTATTTCTTAAATAAAAGAGTCTTTATTAAACATCTAACAAAAGCAGAATAATTTTTAATTAACAATTTACACTTTATTCAACATAGAGATAGAGAATTTTCCTTAAAATCTTAACGGAAATTACAGAGTGATGTCTCAGTGAAGTTCCAGCGAACATTGTTCTGAGTATTGTATACTTCATACATTACATACATTCATTGAAATGTAACGTATTCAATGTGGATGTAGTGAAGTAAACAAGAGATTGTGACTTACATAACAATGAGAACACAATGACAACATGTTTTACATAACAGCATTCATCAAATGGTGCCGCGAAAGGTAACATTGAATCCCAGTCCTTTAGAATTATTTAATAGGAAGTACTAAATTTAATTTATATTATTATTAAAATATATAAAGCGTCGGTGGCTCAGGGGTTAGGCACTTGATTTGTAATCTGCAGGTCATGGGTTCGAATTCCGCCATGTACCGATGTGTTTTTCGATTTAAATTTATCCAACATTTTTATGGTGAAGGAAAACAACGTGAAGCAACCTGCACATCTGCGAAGTGGTTCAAAGATATGTGTGAATTCAACCCGCACTGGGCCTAAATTGACTATGGCCTAGTCATCCCAAACTTAGGATAGGCTCCGAGCCCCTCATTGGGGACGTATAGTAAGCTGATGATAATTAAACTACTATTTACTAATTTGGTCTTTCATTTACTTTATCATATGTTCACTAGAAAATAGATTGCGCTTGTTTGTTAAAAAAAATGTTAATCAATTTATAACACCCCTCATAACATTAAAAAATAAGTTAAGTATCAGCGGCTGAGATACTAATTTCTTCGTCCTGTAAACATCGCATCTGGGAAGCCATATCTTCATTATAGCAAGATAATAACGTAATTTCCGATTAAAAAGATATGTTTCTAATAGGAATTACCACTGTTTAAAACAAAAGCGAAGCTACACCGCGCTTAATGACAATAGATAGCGTCCGATAATCGTATGTGATCGGTTCTTAGTAACGGTGACCGACTTCCGGTACTTTGATGACATCCACCGCCTCACTAATGCGTGTAATGAGAATGGTATTCGTACATACTTTCATGATGCATAATATGAAGTACTTAAACTTATTTTCTGCCTACTCCTTTCGGTCATGAGCGTGATTTGTATTGCTCCATCTTAAAAATGATACACTATAAAAATGAAAAATCTTTTTGAAACTTTCTCTGAAATTGTTCATTCAATAAATCTGCTAACGTATAATAAGAATCTTACTAATATTATAAATGCGCATGTTTAGATCGATGGATGGAAGAATGTTTGTTGCAGGTATCTCCAGAACGGCTTAACGGATCTTGATAAAATTTGGCATAGATATATAACACACTCTGAAAAAAACACATAGGCTACTAATTATGTTTTTTTTAATTCCGCGCTGACGGAGTCGCAGGTAATAGCGAATAGTCATAGAAAATTTACAGCAATAATCAGAAACGTTTTATGGTTAGCCTTGGGAGTATTTCTAAAACTATATCAATTTCAAGAGATTCCCAGGCAGTACATGTGGATTTGGATTCGAATCCGTCACCCCTAGCTAGAGTTTATCAGCAGTGAAAGTGTTGAGTCGCGAAGGACAAGGCGCTCGAGTCAGTATACAACGGATCGTCGCCGTGAGAGCGCGTGCTCCAGCGCTCCGACAAGTGCGCTACGAAAACTTTGTGAAACTTCAAAACAAAGCTTCTATTATGCCAGTTTCTTTTCAAAGTTTTACATAATTTTGTATTAAACGGATGTTAAGTGCGAATACGAACCCGAGACTAAATAAGGAACGCGCGCATAATTGTGACTTTTTTTTGGTTATTTTGGCAAGTATTACCTTGACGATGTTATGTTCATGCATGTTATACAACTTAAGTTAACCGTTTCTTGCATTGTTTGTTTGTTAAACAATAGTTTTAAAAGTTTACGGGGTTTTTTTGTAAGTTATCCCAAGTAAGTTGGGGTTGAATTTTTAATTTTTTCGCCATTTTATAACAACTTTAATTGATAAAAAAAATAATCCTCTTTCAGTCGCGTTATTTATTTGTTCTGTGATAATGATATAAAGTTCCTAAAATAAATATAATATTTATGAAATATCGACAGAAAATTTTCTTCAGAAGGAAACTTTTTTTTAGGCTGATTCGGAAGTAGCTTCTGAAAGGCTCGTGCATTAAATTATACATTTCAAGTAATAAGAACTTATAATAATTTAGTTAATAACACTTTATGGTGCTGTTTGTATGCTGGTGCATAGTGGATAAATTAATTGGGATTCGAACCCATAACTGTCACTCTAACTTATCAAACTTTCAGTAGATTTCGACGATTTCAGACTTGATTATAAAATTATCTAAATAACAACTTTCTCAGTATTCGTTTAA